ACTGAAAAACTGAAATGAATTCAATAGACCTGACCTCCCCTGGTTGGGACGATAAGATCCAAACATGAGATCCGGGGAGCTCCAGAGGATGGGTCCCTGAGGTCTGGCCTTCAGAAACAGAAGAGATAAAATTCAGCTGATGTATATTTCAGGGTTGGAGAAGGCCACAAAATGTGCAAAGCAACAGTGTCTTCTTTGGCTATTGTGTTCCTTCAGGAACATCATTCCTATTGTTCAGGATATTTAATACAATTAATGCAATACAATGAAAGGGGCTGCTAAAAAAAATTGTGTGGAAAAGGAAAAGGAAACGGAACCCTCAGCTTCATAATCCAAAAACATACCTTTCCAAAGAAGTCATTATCCAAAGGAGAAAAAAATATTGCTTAAAATGATGTAACACAGAAGTTGTGGTGAACTTAAGGAAATTAATAACGTTGGTGCAAGTTCATATAGAGGGGATGTCATGATAAGCAAGGAAATTATCTGGATGTTAGAAATCTGGGTGTCTAAGCAGAGCAGTGGTGGGATTCAAATAATTTAACAGCCGGTTCTCTGCCCTAATGACCAGCTGGATAGGCGGGGCTCAATGGTCATGTGACTGGGTGGGTGTGGCAGCTCAACATCACTCACATTGATGGGCGCTTTGCCTTAGCTGTCACAATGTAATAAGGGTTAACCGAGAGGCAGTTTCTGTAAGCAGGGCAATAAAGATTAGGCTAGAAACAACACCAGAATGTTTCCTTCCTGCCTTCCTTACAGGATTAGCCCTGTAAAATGGGGAAAAACAAAAGGAGATTTCTTCCAACAACTGGTTCTCCAAACTGTCTGGAAAGTTACCAACTGGTTCTCCCAAATAGGTGCGAACCAGCTGAATCCCACCACTGAAGCAGAGGCAGAAGGATATGTCGATAAGGAACGGGCGATAGGTAAGCTGATCATAGGCTAAAATACAAATACTCTCACCAGATAGTGGGAACCTCACAAATAAACCTGAACTGGGACCTTCTATTGGGAGCAGGACATCACCCATAGAGTTAAGAGAAAGAAATGAAATTTTGAGTGAAGGAAATATATACAATGTTGGATTCAGAGGAACATATCTAGGGACTTTGACCAAAACAAGCTTTGACCCAGAAAGACCAAGCCTGAAAGAAGTAGCTGGAAAAAAGGAAATGAAGTAGTTAGCTTAGGAAAACAAGCTGAGGAAATAAACAGGAATCAGGCATTTAAAGTGAAAGGTTAGCTGAGAGTAAAGGAAAAAGGAGGCAAGCGAGAGGGAGATTTCTCACGAATCACTCATAAAACAAAACGAGAGAAGGAAAGTGTTAGATATCCCTCCCCCCAACAGTGGTTTCCACCAAGGTCCTCTGTTCTGGTGGGAACAGAGGTTTAATCCCATTGGTCAAAGGGTCTGACACAGTGGTGGGATTCAAATAATTCAACAACTGGTTCTCTGCCCTAATGGCCAGCTGGGTAGGTGGGGCTGTGGTCATGTGACTGGGTGGGTGTGGCCAACTCCATGTCACTCCCGTCAATGGGTGCTTCGCCTTAGCTCTTACAATGTAATCAGGGTTAACTGAAGAGACAGTTTCTGTAAGCAGGTCAACAAAGATGAGGCTAGAAACAACACCAGAATATTTCCTTCCTGCCTTCCTTACAGGATTAGCCCTGTAAAATGGGGAAAAACAAAAGGAGATTTCTTCCAACAACTGGTTCTCCAAACTGTCTGGAAAGTTACCAACTGGTTCTCCCAAATAGGTGCGAACCAGCTGAATCCCACCACTGGTCTGACAGATCCCTTTAAAAGGGGGCTGCTGTCTGACCCTTCCTCAGCCGGATGTTTACCTGACTTGCAATAGAGAGCTGTTGTTACTGAAGCCTTTGGGTGCTTCTTTTACCCGATCTAACAGAAAGGATAATGCTGTCAAATTTGGTGAGCCGAGGAAGGAAATTCAGACACAAAAGGGATTTAAGGGAGCTGGATAAGTGGGCAAGTTTCCACTGTGAGGAGAATCAGTTCAAGGTGCAGGACCTGAGACATCAGCAAGATTGTATGTGTCAAGATGGTAGCCACAATGGAAGCCCTGCCCCCTTTAACATGCACCCCTAGGCATGCCAGGGACAGAGTGAGTCCAAGAAACCGAGGACTAGCTTGATGTATGATTGCTGGATCAGGGTTGGAAGAAGCAATTATCTGACAATCCAGATTTGGATCAGGGTCAGGAGGGAGGGGAGAAACAAGAGGAATCAACTAGTGCCAAAAGGAAGGTAGAAGAAACAAGATGTTTGCAAGTCAACTAAAATGGACTTTCTGACATTTTAAAGCTAATGGGGTTTGAAAAGCACCTTGCCTGATTGTTGGGTGACAAAGAGTGAGAGAGACAGAAGGAATACATTTTCTTAGCATGTGTCTAAGGACTGGGGGTTTTCCCCCCATAGCTTCTGCTCTGTAAGATAATTCTCATATTTATATAAATCATGTAGGTCTGTGAGACTGTAAGAGTTCTGTTTTAGTACCTGCCTTAAGCAGCCATCTTTCATTCTGAAAGCAAAAATTAAAAAAATAAAGTGTGTTATTTATTCATAATCAGAGTGTCTTGAATCTTATTGGATCTGGGCAGGTGCCCTTTACTTCTGCTCCTGTAGGGGATAGGAAAGAGTGGGGACCTTCAGCTGTAGGACTTTCTTCTGGGGTACAGTTTCTCAAACTCAGGATTAGCTCAGTAGATACAATGGACCTCTCTAAAATGCTGATATTAAAGGGCATGGAAGAAGGCACAGAGAGAAGCAATTCTTCGCTCAGTTAAAACCTATTCTTTTTGTACAACAATTATTTTAAGTCACAAATAAATAGGAAAGTATCACTCAATGGAAGATTAATAATTGCAATTATTAGTTAGAGAGTCAGGAAAAGGGCCTATGGAGGAAAAACCTGACATACAGGAAATCAAGGCACTCTTACAGCTGAAATGACAAGCTGTCACATATAAAAACTATTGGACACACAAAATAATATTCTGAGAACAAGCTCTTTAGACCATTCTTCTCAACCCTGTGTCCTCCAGCTATGTGGGAATATGTCTTCTGTTTTCTCCAGACTTTTAAATAAAGAACTGTCACTGGACTGATGGGAGGGTTGTCTCTATCCCCCTAAAGCATTGTTTCTCAACCGTGGCATGGTACTTTCTCCACTCCTTTTCAACATCTATATGAAACCGCTGGGCGAGATCATCCGCCACCATGGGTTGAAGTATGCACGGTATGCTGATGACACCCAACTCTATATTTTCCATTCTTGGTGGTGACCCAAGTGATGCTGTGCCTGCCCTCTCTTGGTACCCAGAGGTATGGAGGCCTGGGTGGGGGACAGCAGGCTTGAACTGAACCCTTTATCATCTTTGACTCTGAATGAGATGACACTGGCCCAGAAAGAGATGGTCCACAACTTAGGGGTTCTCTTGGACTCGTGACTCCAGTTTGAGGAGCAGGTGGCAGTCGTGGCTAGGACAGCCTTTGCACAACTTTGTGTTGTACACTGGTTGGGCCATTCCTGGATCACGATTCCCTGCACTCGGTCATTCAGTCCCTAGTCATCTCACAGTTGGACTATTATAATGCACTCTACATGGGGCTACCCTAGAAGAGCATTCAGAAGCTACAACTGGTGCAGAGTGTAGCAATGCGGGGTTGGGGTGGGGGAAGGATGGCTCCTGGAGTGCCACAGCTCTGTGAGGTGTATTGGTTGCTGGCCCACATGGAGGTGCAATTCAAGGTTTTGGTGATCATCTTTAAAGCTGTTTATGGCCTGGGTCCAGCTAATTGTCTCACCCCACTGGAATTGGCCTGCCTCACTTATGCCAACCCTCCTATCCTTTTGTAAGGGCCTAAAGACATGATTCTGCCAGTTGGCTTGGGACCCCAATGGGGGAACAGCACACTGGAGGTGGTTGATTAACCACAGATCCCACTTCCCCCTACGCAAGCCCCATCCTCCCCACCCGTCCTTAAGATTTTAATATTTAGCTTTTATTTCTGTTTTGATTTATATGATTTGATTTGACCGTGAACCACCCAGAGTTGCCCTATGTTGAGATGGGCAGCCAATCAATTTTATAAATAAATAAAGCTGGCCACAGAATTATGGGAGTTGAGATCTACATATCTTCAAGCTGCCAAGATTGGGGGGAACGGGGGACTGCCCTAAGCTAAAAACCAACATAGCTTGTAACAGGGCTGCAAATATCTCTTCCGTACCAATCCAATCAGCAACAAACACAGCAGTGGGAGGGAGTCTCATTTGAAAGTGTTTTCCAGAGGCCTAACAACCACCTGCAGGCAGTCCCTGGAATAACAGGCTTTTGCATAAGCCCAAGTGTTGGTTTTACCTCCAGAGAGTCATTTAAGGAAACTGACTTTCTCTTCGATTTAAGGCAGATTTTAATGGTGACTGCAATATCTTGGGACTAGGAATCCAAATCACCCTCCCTTACCCTCCTCTGAAATCCACAGCCATTTCAGGACAGCTTTTTCAGCCAAGAACTCTTCCCAAAATACAATTTCATACAATGATCAACTGATCAAATTATTGATCAATAATCAAAAAATTATTGATCAAATGATCAATAGCCAAATATCTTGGGGCCTTATCTATGATGCTGCAATACCAACAGATCAAGATTGATTCTGGTCAAAGTTACCAATCAGGATAGTGCTATTATGAAAGAAGACCAAGCATAATAAATTCCGGAAGGCTTCCCAAAAGGAAAAGCAGATGTAAGTTCAACCTGAATTGTCACCACAAAGATTTTTTATACACCTACTGTAAATATTCCTTGAGCTCTTTAGTGTCTTGCAATACACAGTGTGGCCACAGGATGTCTCCCTATCTTGCACAAAATATACACCCGGGTCCCTTTTAATGGCTAATAAAGATAATGCTAGGAATTGTGCAGGAAGTGTTCTTACTTAAGTACAAAAAGCTTTAATTCTTTTTTTTAAAAACCTATTTATTATACATATATAATAGTCCGAGAAGGCTCTGCTGAGAGTTATAGCTGCTTCCCAGCACCCTTTCCCAATATTTGCTTTCCGAAAATATCAGATAAACAGGCTCCGCTCATCCTTCTGGCAGGACAGGAATCTTTGCCCAATGCATTAGGATGGTGCTGGATTGGGGACAGATCAATACACAATATCAGAATTTTATAGTAAAAAGGAGTTCAGTTCAGTAAACTGGATCCATCAGTAGCAAAACTGGAGCAATTGCGCTGGTCATTGAAAGGAGGGGCGAACCAGCAACAGAATCTGGGATAAAGACTTGAGTGTAAGGTCCAATGTCATCTGCTCCTTCGGGAATAAAGGGCTTTCCTTCTTGTGCGGTGGTCTTTTGTATCCAGTCAAGGTAGCTGAAGACTGCAGTGTAGACTGTGGAGCTTGCCTCTGGGTCACAGTTACCTCCCCAGCTTGCTATGCCAACCACAAACCATTTCATGTTACTTCCAGAATCACAGAACAGGGGACTCCCACTCTCCACCTGGTGAAATAAAAGTATAGCTGAAATAGCCCAAATTCCTATGCAAAAGGCTTTGAAGGGGTCAAAACAATATGTTAATCGTGGACAATCAAATGTGTCTTTGTCATATTGAGTTTTGTCTCAGCAGGCAAAGATAAGCTTTCTCCTTCTTTTTTATACCACCAATCTGTCAAAATTGTAATGAAACTTTACCCAAATGAAACATATATTCTCTCCCTACATATTCTAGTCTCCATTTTAATTTCCATTCCTTATTTCTTCTGGCTTGGGTTTTGGATTGTAAACACCAAAAGGGATAGTCTTGCATAATAAAAATGATTTAAAACATAGTTTAATCCTCCAACCACGGCCCTCTCCTTGCCTTCAAAATTTTATTTAACTGTTCTATTTAACAACAATCAAAAAATTATAATAAACCCCTGAAGCTTCTGAATTCTTCCTCTCCCACACAAAATACACAAGATCTGTCTGTTGTAGCAAAACCCTTGCTCCTGTTTTTGTTACTTAAAGGGCGAACAAGCAAATCAAAGGATCACAAAGATATCAAAGAAGAAAGAGAAAAGAAAGGATGAGAAAAGCAGAAGAAACACAAGCAAAGAAAATAACCAGGTGTCTTTTCTTCTTTTCTGAATATTTGGTCTCCAATATTGTGGGCTTGAATTTAATATATCCCTATGCACTAAGGAACAGTTTTAGCGTGTTACTTTCCTAAAATATCTTACTTAGGTGTTTGAAAGTTGAATAAAAAAAAATAGGCACGAATCTGTTGTGCAAAAGATATTGGGTTCTTCTAGTAGCTCAAGATGAGATTAAGTGTACCTCACAGTACTCCTCCATGTTTTCCTTGGAAACAGCACAGAAGACATTCCCGATTAACCCTTGGATTTCCTTGGAACATACGTCTCTGTCAATTAGTCTCACTTTTACCTTCCTTAATATGTGGGTTAATTTCTCAACATTATCTGCAGGCAAAAGGAAAGGGTAAAGGCCGAGTAACAGTTTAGAATCAACCAATAATGGATAGAAATCAGCCACCCAGCATTTCACAGGACAGAATACATTAAGGAACATCACTGTCCTGTCACCATAAACAAGGAGCAGCCCTGCCAATTTCATGGAATTATGTCAGAGATGCCAGCTTTGCTCTCCTGTGAGACAAAGGGATCCTGGCCTCATATATTATGAAAGAAGGGAAGAAAGAATTAGGAATAAGGTGCACAGCTTGAAATGGGTGGGCACCATGTTGTTGCCATAATCCCTTATTCTATGGTCCTTGCAGAACCACAAGACTGTGCTGCTGAAATCAGCCAGTCAGAGAGACTTTCCAACATTTTCTAGAGCAGGGTTTCTCGACCTTAAGGGACATAGACCAACTTCCACAATTCCACTGCCAGCTCGCTGGTTGCTAGCATGCTAGCTGGGGAATTCTGGGAGTTGAGTTCACACATCAAAGTTGCCAAGGTTGCCAAATACTATTCTAGAGGAAAAAAATACATTAACGAGTTAGATTAGATTAACTCATCTGTAATGAATTAGCTTAGCTAAAGCCATCTGTGGAAATCCTTGAAAACCCCTTGAAATTAAGCTCGCTCTTGGGCCAGTTGAAAGTGTGTGTATGTATGTATATGTGTGTGTGTGTGTGTGTGTGTGTGTGTGTGTGTGTGTTATATATATATGTATATAACTGTATCTTATACCAGTTTTCAAAGTAGAGTTAAAGTACAGATTTTTATTTCATCTTCAAACTGATGTCCCACAGTCAGTGAAGAACCAAAACTGAAAAATGAACAGCTCTTTCAGTGAGATAACAATCCAAAACACACCTTCAAATTAATTATGAAATGCAGGAACAAAGATAAAGGCTTTGAAAAGGCCTCCACAACCTCCAGATTAGAGACTTTATAAAAATTCCCTTACAATATTTCTAAAATGAAAGAGTTTGGTGCAGAAGGATGGGGAAACGTTCCAAAACTAAGCAAAGAAGATTCTTGGCTGGCTCCAGGAAAACCTATTTTTGCCAAAGGAAGGGTCAATGCGGCACCTGCTGCATACTCAGTTTTCTTATTCTGAATCTGTAAACTGCTGCCAATAAATAATGTATATATGAATCCAAATTGATAGCAAAGCATCATTACTTTGCATGACATAGAGATTATATTAGCTTCTATTCACTTAGAGATTCATAGAAACATATATTAATATCTAGGCCATTTATCCAATTAAGTGCAGTATTTGTTTGTTGGCGAAAGTCTGCCTTTCCTCCTGTATAAGCTCTTAAACGGCAGCTAGTCCCTATGTGGGCCAGTGTCGGATGAGGAGCCCCACCACAGTCACATTCAGGGGAGGGTTGTCTGCCCCACATTTTTTCTATTCTTATGAATCAATGTATTTTAATATGTAACCTAAATGTATATATAATTTTTTGAATTCCTCAAACCTTACAAAAGTTACTACAGTGTGTGTGGGGGGGGGTTGTGCGCACATGTGCATGTGGGGGGGCGCTTTGCATTATGGGTGTTAGTATGCAAGCACGCTATCGTACACACACACTCACATTTTTGGCACCCAACAACAAAAAGGTTCGCCATCACTGCTCTAGGCTAAATAAATAAATCATAGAAACATACAATTTGACAAGGGTGCCTAATCATTTGTATCTAACTGTACCTGAATATATATGCATAACCTTATGTGCTGTACTTACACACACATGTACTGTATATACACAGCTACAAAAATGGCCTGCCATAATTAAATAGTTGATTGAGGGACCGGTGTTTGAAAACTCTTCCCTTTAATCTTGTCTGCAACCTAAGTTGGGAATGAGAAGTTGGCTGCTACTTTACTCCTTTCCCTTTTCCTGGAACCAGCGTTCCCACCAATGTCTATTGTTAACCCTCACAGTAGCAATAGCAATAACCAATATTTAAAAGCATGGGGAGGAGGGGCAGAGATTTTCAAGATTCTATTTCTAGATTGAATTCATGCAGGGAAGGAACCCTGTTCATGGAAACCTTCCATTTCCGCTCTTGATTTTTCCTTTTGAAGCTGCTCATTCACCTTCCCTGTTACTATGGACTGTATTTTTTGTAAAGACTCTTTTTATCCCTCTAGATAACAAGTATTTGCTTTTTCATAATCCCTTATTTTGAAAGGGGGTGGGAGATGGATGTCAAGAAGGAACTCAGTAACCTTTATGTAAATACCACCTTAGCCTTAGATGGGGGAAGGAAGTGGAGAAGATAGGTGGGTGGGTGAGGAAAGCAACTCAGAATTTCCCCATCTCAATTCTCTTTAGTGTAAAAGGGATAATCTGTACCCAGCTTTCTGGAGTCTTTCACTCCAGCCTATAATAATAAAGTAGAGTGCCAGTAGTTGATGTGAGTTTCCTAACCTGGCCTACTCCAAAAAGTTGACTCAAGGCTAACTAACTTGTTTCCAGGCCAAATTAGAGTAAGAAGTAGGCTGCAATTCTTCTTGTCCTTTCTTTGATTTGGTTTCAAACTTCATGGTTTTGGCCATGAAAAAATGGAAGGCAGAGTTAGAAAGTTTTTCTTATTGGAAAGGACAAAAAAAAAAAGAAAGGAAAACTTGTTTTTCCCCAAAGCACAGTGCAGTGGGAGAAGTGAAGTCATCAGTAGCAAAAGTTTTAAAATACCACCCCATCTCCATTTCGCAAATTCCTCCCTAAATTGAGATTGTAGTCAAAGTGATAAATTTAAGGGAAGGCCATTTGGTTCAGGCTTGGATTAGAAAATGCAGTACCAGCCATCGCAGTCTCCCATGTGGCAACCCAGCAGTCTTGCCATATGCTCAGGTCCTGCAACAGGGGCAAGCAAACTGGTGTCGTTTTTTCATTGAAGTGGATGGGAGAATCCAATAAGATCAAAGCAATGTTGTTTCTGAGACTGGTACTGTTGAAGTGTTCATGGATGATCATCATATTCAACTTCTTTTCCTCTGAAGGCTCCCCATGCAGGATGACCATGATGGGGAGATCTAAAGAACTTGGGAACAAAGATGGAGGCAACACATTATTGAAACATATTCAAACCCCAAGAGGTGGCCTGACCAATCCAAAAAATAAGGCATATTGTTCAGTTGGGTCAATGGGATATTTAGTGCAAAAATGTTTTAAAGGATGAGTATATCTGTTGTTTTGAACCTATCCATCAGTTGTAAGTTCCCAACCCTTTTTTCAAAATCCCTTGAATTCCCACCTTGGAATGGCCTATGGATTGGTGTACCTGGGACCTTGAACAGAGAAAAAGAGATCAACCTAAATTGCTTCAAGCAGGCAGGATAATTTGAATTAGCCTGCTGTAGCGGACTGATGGTGAGAATATGAATGATAAGTGTTTTTTTTAATTATTTACCTGCTCCTATTCAAAGCTCTATTCCTACCTAATTCATTTTGATAATTCTCCTCTGCAGTCAGTTGGCATCCACATCTATTTAGCCTGCTTTAGTTCTCACTCAGGGGTGGGTTCCGGCAGGCACTATTGCTGGTTTGCTCATATGCACACTGTACACGCGTTCTTAATATGCTCAATAAAAATTGTTCTGCGCATGCTCAGAAGCGAAAAATAAGATGGCAGCACCTACGGCCTGCCCAGAGAACTGGTTCAGGGGTGTGGCAGGCCTGGGTGGCTGCCGGTTCCAGCGACCCAGGCTGCCAAACCACTACCTGTTCAGCCGAACCGGTCTGAACCGGAAGAAATCCACCACTGTTCTCACTCAATTGTTATGAGTCTCTGTGACCGCTCCTTATGCAGCCGCGCAAGCAATCGTGGGTGCGCCTCGGTTCACCCACGTAACACCTATCCTCCGCGAGCTGCACTGGCTGCCTGTT